ATTCATGTTGCATTTATATACATAAGCGTCTACTTACTTTGTCCAGTATCCCTACATTGAGATAAAAGCATATGATAAATACGTTCCATCCTAACCATAATGTATTCCATGTACAATACTAAAACAAGAATCGTAGTGTTATTTTAATAGAAATAAATCATTTATTTAATTAAAATTAATTTAAATTAATAAAAATATGTAGAAAAGACAAGTCTTCCTATGTTTCGATTAAATTGTATTATTGTACTTTTACATAACAGAATATAAATTATAATTATAAAGATCCTTTTTACTGTATCTATAAAAAAACAATTATTTACCGATATAATATATTTAGGTCTATACTGAAAGGCCCCAAAGAATCCTAGAATTACAAAGATAATGTTGAAAAAGTTGACCAGTATCGGAGTCCACATAAATCCCAAAAAGTCGAAAACTTGACGTTCTATAGTGGTAATCTGAAAGCAAGAAGAAAATAGATTACATCATAACATAAAAGCATCCAACAAGAGCGTGAAGTAATATGTGACAGCATTTTAATTTCTGTTAATTCCTTTTGTGAGCGTTCTTAAACTATGGCAATTGCCCTACGTTCTATATACTCTGTTAATTAGTCATTCTGAGTCATAGCATTTAAAGGCGCAACACAGTTACACGAAAGATTGTTTCAAAACTTTTAATTTACTAAACTTCTTTATGGACAGATTTATTTAAAGATATTGATTTTTTTTTTATTAATAAAACTCAAAAATTGGTATGTAGTCGACATTTTATAATATACATTTTAAAATATAAAACATAGTTAAAATGTCTGTTAATTAAAAAGTTACATATAAAAAGTACAAATATATGATATTAAAATTTATATGTTAAACTTAATAAATTTATTTTCTACATATTTTCAATATATTAATTTATATTTTATATTTAAAAATCGTTACATAAACATATTAAAATTTGAAATTATAACATTCCAACAGAGAAAGTCTTCTGACATTCCAAAGAAGAAATCTAAACGTTCATTAGTCTTTATTACAATTACTTTCTTACACTTCTGACACAAAAAGCAAGTCACTCGTAGCATGGTAGAATACATTTAAAAAATGTATCTAAGTGCAATTGATCTAATATTATCGGAGCTACGCGACTATCAAATGACATAACGAAATCGCAATATAAAAATCCCTTTTAGGAAAATTCCTGGAGATAAACCGCGCGACTCAGGTCGATATGATAAAACAATATCCGTGAATTGATAAGAAAAATGTGGTAACGGCTCTTCTTCGACTCTCCTAATGGACGCTGTTTAAGTGCGCGTCGCTCACAGAATAACGTGACTAATGCATCGTATCACAATCGAGGAATCCGGAAGAAAAAAAAACATATGACTCGATCTGTACAGATAAAATCATGCACAAATACGTATATAGGAACAATTCATAGCCAGACGTTACGATCAAATCGAAAGTTGGCGTACACATCCGGATTAATATGCACTCACTAGTTGCAGGCTGCATATTGTCAGTAGAAAATGCCTTCTGCTGCAAATTCCCATGTCATTTGGCCGCGCTCCGCTCAACGAGCGATCTCGCGCGGTACGATCGGAGCAAATAACGACAGCACTCGCTCGCACTGCATCACTACTGCGGCACGTTTCGATGTACCATCGCCATCTTTTGCTTTTCCCCTGTTTGTTGCTCTGACTGAAACACTTGTTCTACCCTCCCTACCGCGCGGTATGACGGTATCACTGTGTGCGAACTGGTGCGAACCTATGACCGCAGCAAGTGGCATGCACCATGCACCGTGCGCTCGTAGCTAGGCGTAGCCAGGCAACCAGAGCCCGGAGCACGCTCGTTTTGTCACGGTTGGTGAACGACTGCCACCGCCGCGGCACGTGCAAGAAATTTACCTCCCCTCCCTCAACATCGTGGCAGCTGGATAAAAGAACGTGTTGCTTTGTCGAGGCCGAGCTATGCACCTCCATCTATTCGATTCTATTCGATTAGAGATAAATATAAATATACAACGTTCTTAAAAACAAAAAAGACATGGATTTGGGTGCAGAAAATTAAAATTCTAATCCAGTAATGCGAAAATTTTTATTTTAAAAAATAAAAGGTAAAATATAAATTTGTAAGTGTAGGTCGAAATCGTGCTGTATGTATCGATACTGTTACGATAATGCTGTGAGCAGGTCTGCCAAACTATAAATATGAATTTTCCCGCCATTGAGAAAGGAATATATCTAAAGTAAAATTAATGATATGATTGGATATAATTGACCCAAATACCTAAATACCCATTCACTAAAATATTTTTACACTCACCAAGTAATATTCGAATACTCAAATACTTGTTTTATTTCAGGAAAATTAATATTCAAGTACAATTTGGAATTCGTTAAGTAATAATTGATTCGAAATATCATTCAAGTATTATTAATTTTATAGACCGTATTTCTACATAAATACTTCAATAGAAATTTATTAATTATAATTAAATATCCAAATTATTTAAAAAAAAAGAGCAAAAAATAGCTCTTCTTAATTGGCAATAATTACTTTAATTTAATTTTTTATATACTATTTGTTATTTTTGTCACACACGAACTTAAATATATTTAGTTATAAAATTGGTTAAAAACTGTATTTTTTAAATTGATTTGTTTTCGATATATTTTTATATTTTTTTTCTTTTCATTCTTTCTCTTTCCAAAACTTGATTAAAATTATTCGTTTGGGTACAGAAAGTTGAAGGAAATGTAACTGAACGAACAGATATATTCGATAATCGATAATCATAAATTGTTACGTTCAAGTTACGAAATGTCTAAAACATGTGTACACATTGTATTTAATTTATAATTTACTTTAAAAGAATTTGCATAATTATTATTTATTATAACACAATGTAGAAATTGTTATAATACAAAAAACCTCGCAAATAATTAATAATTGTTATTTTTGAGATCACCTTATCTTTGAAGCCAAATTAAGCTTCTGACATTCTAACGTCAAGATTATCAAAACTATTAAAAATTCTTTGTCTTCCGTGTTTCTCGTGGTTTTACCTCTGCACACGTATCTTCAAAAACGGTAGGAACATACTTAAAATTATTAAAAGATTATAAAAAGATTATTTGCTTAACGTTAAATAATAGAAAAATTATTATAAAAACATAATAATTATTTTTGTAATTACATGCATGTAGAAGATACATTTCTGATAATCTTTATTTATCTTCCTGAAAAGGAACTTGTTTCTCGATTTTATACATATTATGTAATTTTAATTAAAGACCATGAATCTCTCTTATTTTTCCGAAAAAATAAATAGTATATAGAGAGTGATTATAAAATGGATTATAAGGGTAATTTTCAGAAGATTGCGATCACCGCCGTACATTACTCGAGAATGAAAAAAAACAGAATCTTAAAGAAGCAAAATATTTCTTCGATCGAGGTGATTCCAAAATTGGTAAATTTTCGAAAACTCAGACAAGCAAACGTGATTCTGCATGGCAAATCTGCTGGGTTTCCAGCACAAAAATTTCAACGCGAACTACAAGGTCTATTTGCAGAAAGTGTAAAAAGAGACGATTTCAAGCGTTCAAAAAAGGTAACTTATCAAGCACCATGAGCATCATATTTAACAATAAATGTGGCTACTTGATTCCGAAATTTATTTTTATTACAAAAATATTTGTATTTAAAAACATCTGATTATTGCGCATTTAATATTAAATTTGTGATCAATAATATGTATGCTTTGGATTCCTCAAAGATACGGCTCTATTAAGGTGTAACGAGGGCACGTTTCGCGTGCGGAAGATATATGGAGATGGGAATTGCATGTTTAGAGCGATCAGCTACATTTTGTGGCGAAACGAGGAAGAGCATCAATCGCTCCGAACTATGGTCAGTCATTGTAATTTTTAACTGTAAATATTATAACTAGATAAACATGAAATTCGCTACATGTGAAATATCACAAATATTATGAATTGATTGCAACGAAGTTAAAAATAGAATCGTTTCGTGATGGGAGACAAAGGTTAATTAGTTAAAACGCGTAGATGCTATATATTGTGCTACCCTATAAATATTACTTTTTATGATGTCAACTTGATAGTAACAGGCAGTAATTGATGACATATATAACAGCTATGGATCATTTGGTAGGTTGTGCAGCATATTAAGGACAATTGGCGGGAGTACGGTCCATTCGTGATAGCTGAATGGAACATTTCGGATTGTCAAGAGTACTACGATTACATGAGTCTAGTAGGTACATTTGCCAGCGAGTTGGAATGCACGGTAGCCACAAAACTACATCGCATGAATCTTTCGATTTATCGCGAACTTCCTGGCAGATACGAGCTTAAGTTGGTCTTCCATAACCGCGTTAACGTTAACTATGAAACCGCGAGACTTCTATTCACCGGATGTTCTGAAAGCGGTCATTACGATGTTTTGTTACCCGATTCAATGTCAAGCTTTTTTATGGGCCAATAAGTTAGACTTTATGGCAATTAGTAAAAATGAATAAAAGTTAAAATAATATTTTTAACAAGATCAAATAAGCAATAAAATTACAATATATATACAAAACTTTACTTTACTAATTTACTTTACTAATTTTTTTAACAACTATGGCATATTTTTTGCGTTCTGTAACAGATATTGTATAATTTATGAGAAATATAAAAAATATACAAAGAAGCATGTAATGTATACTAAATTTATTAAAATTATTAAGACATAATTTTTAATTTGCGAACATAAAATTTAGTAATATCTTTGTAAGAGATAGATTTAATCAAATATGGCACTTAATTGATAATTAAATATTTCATATATATGTGATGAGAAGGATAAAAAAAAAGGTAAAGACAAATTTTTGAATTTTTATTAATAGAAAATCTATTTTCTTAAAAACTACGAGGATCGTCTTTAAGCAATATAATAATGTACTAAGATATTGTAATATATGACGATTTATAATTCTAATTTGACTCCGTGTGAATATTTGGAATGATTCTTCCCTTCACATAATTCGTGGGAAGGTACTTCTTGCTACACAAATTTCAAACAGCTTTTAAAGGTTTTTACTGTCTACCTCGAGAAAATTCGCTAACAGAAAATGCGAATTCCCACACTCGTGTTGGTGGCCGACTGGAATGCTTCATGCTTCATGAGCAAGAACAGGATTTAAAAGGAATAATCGCATCCCTGCGTGTGAAGCCATTGTGAGACCGTCGTTATTGCACTATAGATCACACAACTGAAATACAAGATCGCAAAAAGTCAATTAAAATGATGTATACTGTATCAAGAATTAAATTTAATTGCCACAAAATCAAATCTGCATGATTTATGTAAATTGTGCAAAAATGTTGAGATGTTAGCAAAATGAAAATAAACGTACATGTAAATAATAAAATAAAAAATTATATAAAAAAATATAACAGTTTACATTTTAAACATATAATTGTGTTTAAAATTAAGTTAAATAATATAACAGTTAATAGTATAACAATTTACATAATAGTGTTTAAAATTAAGTTTTTTTTATTTTTTATTGCATATATGCTGCAACATGCTAAAAAATTTATTACTTCTTCAAATTTCTTCAAATTTAATTTTGACTTGAAATATTCAAATATTCATATTATATAATATTTATAAGGTATATATAACTAATTTTTAATTAGTTATTGTCAACTCCTTTACCTTATTTGATACATCATTTTCGAGCACCAATTAATGCTAATGCTGCACTGGCCTCTTCTGACTGCCTGCACCACCTCCTTAGCTATTGCTTGTTCTTCTTGTCTTGTCGAGTTATAATATAATATTAATGATTTGAAGTCATTAGAGGAACAATGAGGAAATTTTTTTATTCTCTTTTTCTTTTTTTTAGGAAAACTCACCTGCGTGCTGTTGTAGGTGAAATCGCGAGGAAGGTAAGATGGCTATTATGATTGCTCAATTCCTGACCCAAACTTTCCATGAGACCTAAATGTAAATAAATCACGCGCTATTAACCGACATGACATTTATTGTTTGCCGCACGCGATTTGACGAGTGGTTTTTATGATTGACTACACTCACCGGCGATCGCCGCCCTCGAGCTCAAATATACATCCTGGGTGGACGTAATTGGCGTAATTCCGATAATATGCGCTCTGTCGCGTTGTAGCATAAATGGCAAAAATGCCAACACCGTCTGCAATAAGAAAAAAAAGAAGAAGAAAAATTGTAGATCACAGTTTATAACAAAGTCAAAGATATATGCAGAAATGTAGTTGATGATATGATGATTTTAGCAGAAAGGCAGATCTATAGTCAAAACAATGATAACACAAACTATGCTAAAATGAGAAACTGAAAGTACTAATTAGATGGATTAAAAAATAAAACGGGTTTGCGGATTACAAGACGAAAAAAACAGTTGAAGACTTACAAGCAGATATTAAAAGTTGAAAAAAGCGCAATAATAAACAATAAAGATGTATATAAAAAGATGTATGTATGAGTGTCTTATGACATGACAAGATTGCTTCAAGGACATAACTGACGCTCACCCAATAATGGCTCATGAGAGTAGTATTGGCTGTATCGAAAATATCTTGATAAGACTGCCCGGCGCAGGTCACTAGGACGTCGACGCCACCGATTTCATCCTCGACCTTCTTGGCGATCTCACGTATGGCATTACGATCCAGCAGATTACATTCGTATGCTGCCATTGTGGGCCTTACATTCTCCTGCTCTTTTTCCCTATGCTTAGGTCCGATTCCCGTCACTTTATTGCACAGTGATTTTAACCTGGTAGTTATCTCCTTGACGGATCTAAAATCGTTATCCACGCAGATCACAGAACATCCACCCCTCGCGAATTCCTCGGCAAGAGACTCGCCGAAGGTCGACGAGACACCGGCAATCTATTACAGGAAACATTTGTCTATTAAGAAAGAATTATTCTATATTTTCAAGACTATTGAGTTTTAAACCAAATTTATATTTATATTTAATATATTCACAATAGAAAAGAAATGCAAAATCTTAAGACACACACACACAACTATTTATTACATTTAATTGTATCACACATAGAATTTATTTCTTCTAACTTTTCAATTCTGATTCAAATAATATTTATTACATTTTATAAATTATACATATTATATGAACTAAATATTTAAATTGTTAACTTTAATTATAAAAACGTAATAGTTGTATATAATATAAATTAAAAAATTAATAAAATGTATAATTTAAAATTAGTGAATAGAAAAGTGTACATACTAAAACTACATCACCGCTCAAATCCCTTGGTGGCTTTGGCAGAAGAGATTTTATGACATTAAGGATGACTAAGAAACTGGAGATGACAGCGCCAATTATAAATTCAAAACTGAGGTAAAACAAAAAATTAATCGAAAAGCCTATCCTTGAATTTGTAGTCACTGATTCGTCTTTAACTCGTAGCATCATCCGCTGCAAAATAATACAGATTAATTATTTTATTATAATATGATACTCAAATTTGATAAAACTTGTTTAAAATTAAATTATAACTGCGAACTGTAAGTTAATTAATAATTAATTGATTTATTTATTACGCTTTTATTTATTAATATATTTATTAGATTTTAAAATGTATGTATAATTATTATTGTATAATCATTATTATTAATTTTGAGAAATAATACAATTTTAATTTGTTAATATATAATACACACACACACACACACACACACACAATAATATTCATTAATCTTCAATAAACACGATTGGGTCATTCGTATCTTACACATTTCTTTTCTTTGAAATGCTAGAAGCACCTGGCTAAATTATAGTCTCTATGTATCTTTTCTTTTTTTTAATACTCAACTAAATTATTTCTTAATTTTTTTCTTTACACTGTATCCATAAATATCTATATTGCTTGTAATTAGGAGGTATGATAAATTATACTTGCACTCTGTCGAAATCAATGCACTTTCATATAAGAAAGTATAATATCAACACGGTTTTGAGCAAGTAGTTATGTAACGTGTAAAGTTCTGTATGCCTACCACATGATGTATAATGAAGAATGTAACACTTTATAGATAAGCAAGCACCCCAAAAGATTTACGATCCTCGCATCGAGATGTGAAAGCAAACTAATTCTACAGAAATAAATCACGTATGCCAGAGACTGTTGCAGAGATTCTCTACAAGTTGAAATATACCCTAAATAGATCACATTATTTTGGTCTACACCAGTTTTAATATATTGCATAATTAAAAGATTTTAATTGTATTTAATTAAATTATCGTTTTAGCACAGCAAAACGTATTTAATCCTTAAAGTATTTCCTATTAATTCAACGTTTTTTACGGTACATAATTTTTATGTTAAATATTAATTTGTATATTTTATTAAAATTTAAAATTTATTGCTATGATAATGAATTTTTTACACTAAAAGAAAAGATTGGCTGCTGCAACAAATTACATGGTAAAATATGGCATAGCATTTTTAATTGGTTGCAACAGCCAATTTTTTGTTGCTGCAGCCAATTAAAAATGCTATATTTAACCATATTTAACCATTTAATTTGCTGCAGCAATCAATCTTTTCTTTCAGTGTATTACTATCATTTAATTTGCAATTTTTGCATTTCATTAAGGAAAATATGCAGTTGACCGAATAATCCCGGAAATTAACTTGCATTACTTAATGCTTAAGCTGTGAAATATACGTGTCTGCTTCTATTTCTGCTTTACTAGATATATCATGATGAAAACATGCTAAATTCAGTTGCAAAATATCACAAAACTGCTAAAGGTCTTGTCAGTATTATATAACAGATTAGTATTATATAACGTGACATTAACGTTTTTACTATGCAAAGAAGAAAATAAAACAGTTACAAATTGTGTGAGTCAAACTGAAATAAAACGCATTAAGAAACGTTGGACCTGATATAAGTACTCAAAACTTCATACAACATATATTTTAGCTACAGTTATAAAACTCTCTCTCTCTCTCTCTCTCTCTCTCTCTCTCTCTCTCTCTCTCTCTCTCTCTCTCTCTCTCTCTCTGGAAAGAAATATTCCTTTTTTCAATTTACTATTTTATAATATAATCTTAACTATAATATAAATAAAACAAAATTATGTAAATATTTATTTAAAAAAAATTTTTTATTAATTCTATCTTAAAGGAATAAAATAATAGTTTAAAATGTAAGTCTTTTTATGTAACTAAATTATTTTATAATTATATACGATTTTATTAGATTATATAACTACGGTTACAGTGTAGACAAAAAAACTTTAAGAAAAGTTATTAAATTTGTGTAGAAATTTTCAAAAGTTATGTAAAGAATTCTAAAAAAAAGTTTTCACCAAGAATAGTATACAAAACTTTCTGACTGGATAAATGAAACATACTGTACCAATGCTGTGTACATATCTATTATGAAAAAGAAGATTGAAAGTGCTGTAATGTTTAACAAGTTTAACAAACCATAAAGTTGCCATTTGTTTTTTTTTCTGTTTGAATAACATAAATCTTTGGTTGAGTCATTTCGACATAATCTTGAGAAAAAAACAAACAATATCACTTTTGAAATGTTTAGCTTTACGTTCAGCCTAAAATCACGCGTTAGTATAAAAACAATTTCATAAAACAGCGGAGAAAGCCGTGTAATTGTATAGAATACATAATTCAATACAATGTAATTTCAGTATTAAAACTGCAAATTCGCGCAAGAGAGTGGAGACTAATTTGCAGTATGCTAGGAACTTCGATGAAATAATTAGCACAATGGAAATTAGAATATAAAGAAATAAAGTAATAAAAAAATAAAGATATAAAGTAACCGAATTAAGGTTTAATGCCTGTAAACGTTAATGTACTTGTCATATACATATAGTGCATTTCTCGAACGCAGTCTTAGATATATAAACATGAATAGCTTATTGAAAAAATATGAAAATATGAGGAAACACGCAGGACGCAATAACAAAGTGTATGTAAATGCGCGCTGCATATGTTAACCAAATGCAACATTATAAATCTGGTACGGTTTATAGAGCGAACACTATTTTTCCTATTACGTAACAAATATTCTCTTTGAGTGCACCACTTTCCACCAAGTAAGAGTAAGCAAAACCTAGCAGTACCTGCATTTGCCGCAATCAGATATCTATTACTTGTTATATAATGTTATATATAAGAAAAATTAAAAGCTACCGTTCGAGACATAAGCTTGAAATTCGCTCTGAATTGATATTTCATGGGAAAATAAAATATTAATGCAATGAACCTTTTGTTTGTCACAATTAGTAACGCCGTAATAAAAACTGTATTAATAGCGATAATGATAGAATCAAATAACAATTATTAATGTGAAATAACAATAATCGTCACCGCAAAGCACTCATAAAAAATTGAGATGAAAGTATAGATGAGATGTTAAAACTTAATTGTTCTTAAAGGCACTAATTACGATATTATCATTTTACTGATTGAAGCTGAGTCAGAGGAAATTTAAGTTTTTTCACGTTCTGCGTACAGATTGACAGGCGATCATATCTCATAATGCACTCAAGTAATTGTGCAAACCAGGGCTGCATTCACCTTCAAAATTTTTCTATATAAACACAAAGTATAAGTTTAATTAATCATTTTAAATTACTTTAAAATATAGGAAAATGAAAAAAATATATACTTAGCTTAATTTGATCGACTATTTGTGATTTCCAATATTATAATATTAATCATAAACTTTATCAAGTTTCTAATCAAATTTCCAAAATAAATTTATACATTTTGATTATCTATTGTGTAAATTTTTCATATTTATTCTTTTAATTGTACTTTTGGTAAATAAAAAAATAAATTAGGTCAAAACGTAGTTCAAATTTTAAACAAAATAAGATAAATAAAAGGCATTAAACTACGAACGCAAGATGTAAGCAGCGAATAAATATATATTTAAAAAGTTAATATACATATAATAGACGTTTCGGTCTTAAAGAATTAAACTTTTTAAGAATTCTTCACATCAAAAAAATTGTATTGTGCGTTGACTATCGTTTATTTCTTATTGACTTATGTTTGCGAATATTAATATTTATTTATAACTCTCATTTCGTTTTATTACTGAAGATGGTCTGATTTAAGACCGAAACGTCTATTATATGTATATTAACTTTTTAAATATATATTTATTCGCTGCTTACATCTTGCGTTCGTAGTTTAATGCCTTTTATTTATCTTATTTTAAATAAAAAAATATTAATTGAATATCATCAAATGTTGCATCATATTTAAAAGAAATGTAGAACAAAGACTAGCAGTAAAAACATTTAATTATTAATCCATTTTAATAACACAAAGAAATACAGGTAACTAATGAATACTTCGTACTGGATCAATCGATTGCACATGATAGATCGACAAATTACAACTTACATCATTACGTATTAGGTTCGTTCTCGCCGCTCTCTTATGATTTGCAGAAATTATATTTTTATTTTGAATAGCTATTCTATAATTAGAATACCATACCTGTACCAAATCGATTAAAGTAGAGATTAATGATACAGAAACATTCTAAATAATAGCATATATTTTTTATGACCAGTTTGTTTACGTCATCACGTTCCCGACACGTTACACATTAGAAACCACATGTTATTTGTAAAAGGCACTTGAACTTTTGTTGCTATTCGTTTGAAGTACACATAGATATATAACATAAAAACAGGATTAGTCACTTCTGTAAGTTTGGTACAGTTGTATGTATTTATAATGTAAAAATAGATATTATTAATTAATTTTGTTGAAAATATTTATATATATTTTTATTATTTAAAAACTATTCAAATCATTCTATTATTTAATAAAATCTACAGATAATCCATAACATGTTTTTATTTACTTTAAACGGTTTTTTATTCGTTTAATCTTGTAATATGTCAAGACACATAGGAGATGCAGTGGATTAATAAACTTGATGTATCTATTTGTAAAATTCTTTTATCAATAAATTTTTCAGTTATTCTGAAATATCTGAATATTTTAATTAATTGTAAATAAAATATACAATATATATGCGGTCTGTTTTTTGTGGCTAAATTAGTGTACACTTTTGGAACTTAAAATGAAATAAATATATGTTTGATATTTGTCAAAAGCGAGAAAAAGAGTTCTAGTGCAGTCTCGTGCAGGAACAACAGACCAATGATCTCTTGTATACATAGATATATATTTTTTCTTTTATATGTTATATAAATATATATATTTTAGGGCTAGACAAATCATATCCTCTAAATTCAACAATGTTGAGCGGATATTCTTTTTCTCTTCATAAAATTTTAATTCAAATATATATTAATTATAGAAGCACTTCAACAATTCAAAGTCTTAAATATTATATTAAATTTTTTAGTATCAAAATTGTACTGTCAAAAGTAATAAAAAATTCATGAAAAAAGTAATATTGCATTAACAGTATTAGTCTAATTGAAAGTAATCTTATTAATTCAATAACAATACTAACAAATAACATTTTATTAAAACTTGAGCATAATTTATTTCATTAATATTATTATTGAATTAACAAGATTATTTTCAAACTGTTATTAACTGATGTTGCTAATGAAACATTATTTTTTCTGTATGTAGATAAAATATAAAACACTTTAAAGTTTCTATTTTTGACATAAATCAAATTTTAGAATAAATTTTAGAACGTAAATTTTATTATGAATGCAAATTGTCTTTTCGCATACCTATTTTAACAGATTATCCAAATTTACACTATATATAATATAAGTCCGCATATATCACAACGCAGCAGTCTTGTAATCGCACGGAAGGAATAGAGCGAGAAACGTTACCGCGAGGGACGCGTAGATCACTGGATCACGTTGGATCTCCAAGTCACTCGGCAGTTTTGTGAACAGTGGGGAACGTAAAGAAACAACAATTCCGTGAATGTAACGACGACGTCAGCGGTCAGTCCGCTAGAATCGCTTGAACTTGACTGAACACTAGAACGGTACAACGTACTGAGAATAGTCAGGTTATAAGACCCAACCAAGGTCGTCGTCAGCGTCGTCATTTACTTGTTTCTTTCCTTCTTTGCTCGAGTATTTTCTAACATTATTCTTTTATGTGAATAGTGCTGAAAGCTGCACATGATTAATCGTCTACGCATAATATAACTTGTTTGATTTCAATATTAATAATGCACATCTGGATTTCCTAATTAAAATATTCTTGATTTAATGAAAAAAGAAATTCTATTATTGATTTTTAATTACGGTTATTTATAAATCTTTAATATTATTCTCAAATAAGTTATGTTGGTAAAATTTTACGTAAATTATTTTATAAATTCATCTGTTATATTATATAAATTTTTTATAGATTTAATAATATTTTATTACTCGCGTTTAGCAATAAAACGAGATAAAATTTTTAATTTTATTAAGCAAAAAATTAATTTATTATGCAAAAGAAAAATAGATAAATTTATTATGCAAAGTCTTTGAATGCTAAAAAGTTTTGAGAGATTTATATACATTGAAAGAAAAGATTGGCTACTGCAACCAATTTAGATGGTAAAATATGGCATAGCAACCAATTTTTGGTTGCGTTAGTCGCTAATGCAATCACAAATTGCTGCAGCAATTAAAGATGTTATACCATATTCAGCCGATCTTTTTTTTCAGTGTACATATATAGAAACTACGATCCGATGATAGAAAGGTTGCAACACTTTTTTTTCCGATGTGGGCTTCGGAATGCAGCTTGCTTGTTGAGTGGTTGGTTCTTACTTACAGATCTAACTATTTGTGTCAACCGCTCTACGAACAGGCCTAAATTCCGAAATCCATCGAAAGAAAAGTATTGCAATCTTTCTACGATCAGCTGTACAAGAAAGACTTGTGAATCAATTATTCTAAACAGAATCGTAAAACTTGTAACATGTTCTCGTAGAACTTGTAAGAACTTATGACTAGTATTCTAATTTTGTGCGTATGTATCGTAAGATGTACGATTATTCGTAAATATCTATGATTTTTTGTAAATTTTATGGCTAGCTGTCTGTAAAAATATTGTATATAAGGTATGAGCACTTAAAAATTCTTAAAAATCTTACAAGAATATGTTACGAGTCTTGCGATTCTGCTTAGAATTTAGACATTGAATTTGTTTGAGGGAAATTTTTTAATGTCATGTCTTCTGACGTAACACACTATTTCATAACATTTTGAATATTACAATTAATTTTTTAAACGTTTTAATTTATATAGGCTCAATTTATGAAAAAACTCAGACATTACAATGATTATACGTATTATTAATGTAACTATATAAATGCAGAAAAGATTTCTATAGAACTCTATATTTAGTAATTAGATTGACTTCTTTTTTTAATATAGAGAGAAAAGTTCTTTCACAATCGTGAATACCTTGTTAATACTTCTTATATAGTAATGCAAATTCATGCAGTTACCAACATGCTTTTATTTAGTAATGGTTTAATTAGATTGTGCAAAGATCTCTGTAAGAAATTACACAATTTGCATTGCCGATTATACATATATAGAGACATAAAGAAAAATGAGATAAATTTATACCATTTTTGCATAATTTATATTTATTAAACATATTTTTTAACATTTATAATCAATAAAATAAAATTATGCTCATTGCTTGAAGTGTAAGAAGAAAATAATAAAGACTTGACTTTAAGCCAATTTCGTCCACTATTCAAAGTTAAGGCCATTCTTAAATCACGCATTCTAATTGTAAAAATATTTTTTATGCTTTTTATTCTCCACAAAATTTAAAAAAATACAATTCAATATTTAATACATCAAAAAAGTAATCTTACAGTTATAGTGAAAATTATCTAAGTACGAAAAATATAGCTAAAATAGATAAATTTCTAGCAAGTACTGCGATATTGGATATGTTATATCTCATCATATAGATGGCAGAAATAGAATTTAGATTCTATGTGTATAATATATAATTTTCTATCAGATACAAAAAGAGCTATAATTCTAGCTGAAGCAGCAAAATATTTACTGAGCAGTTTTTTATTTTATATAAAAAACTGTTTTATTTGTTGAATAATATTACTACCTTTGTGTACTGATTGTTCATGACGTCCGATCTCTCTCTCTCTCTCTCTCTCTCTCTCAAACGTTATTCCGGGAAATCGTCCATAATATATGCATTTATACAAAATGTAAAAAAAAGTTGTAAATATATTAGTTTCCACTTATACACAAATTATCGCATATCACTTGAAATTACAAATGTTCAAAGTATTTAAATGCGTATAAAGATAGATGATAATAATATTGATCTGCGATTCAAGAATTCAATCAATTATCAGACCGCAAATAAGTAAAAACTTTGCATATGTGTACACGCATTTGGGTATACGTTAAATGACATATGAACATCGAGTAAATTATGTTGCAAGAAGTAATAACGCGGAAGTAACGAAGGTGCACTCAAACAATATTATTTTTACAAGATAGGTGCAGCCCATGTTATAAATCAAAAGATGTAATATTTCATGTACTGACCGAAGCTAACACACTTGTTAGTTACGTAACCGAATAGGCTGACAATAACAACATGATTGTGATTGCACACTTGATATATTTTACTTTCTAAAAGAACATTGTACTTTTCCTTCAAATAGTTCAGGTCAATCACACTGGTCCTCTTATTAAGTACTGTAGTAATATGTTTACATCAACTCATACACACACACACACACACACACACACACAACACACACACACACATATCGTGGAAAAATAAAATTAAAATTATATATATAAATTAATAATATGACTCACTTAGAATAAATCAATATAAATAAATAGAAGGACTACGAGCCCATTAAAAATAAATTAAGAACATTTAATATTCCGAAATAAATATTAAAAAATACAATAACAAACATTTCGACGCTGATCGGGTTATTCTCAATTAAGACGTATTCAAAAAATTATAATAATATTACATAAGTTATCGGATTCAAAATTACAATATTATATAATTTATCTAGTAAAATTAAAAATGTTGATACATATTGGATGTTCCATCTGTGTTTCATCTTATTTTCAAAAAATATACGTAATCCATTGAAATTTGTAATGTAGAAATCGCTTAATGTGATTGACAAACGAGTGGTAATCTCATTTTTCCTCTTTGAAAAACTATTCTGTTCACCAACAATTTTTTAACAGCTTATTTAGTCAAATTGTTGTGAGTTGAATTTAAAAAAAAATGCAGTAGTTATTACAATCCGTATAAGTCATAATGCGCTATCAAAGCAGAGAACAAGTAATTCCGACAGTATCGGACAACGTTATGTTTAACCATAAAGATAAAAAAAATCAGCATTTAATATCAAATTGTCAAATTAATTGTTAATAATAAATGCAAGTAAAATGTATAGAAACGCGTATGTATGTTTATTAATCTAATAATACATTATTATATACTACAGGTAAACTTCATTTTATCTATTGTGTAAAATTCATATCTAATAAAAAAAATATAGCACCTTTGTATAATTTCTAAATTTTTATCAAATCTAGTTTCGCATTCATTGTGTCTTTTTCTTTCTGTTTTCGATCGACATTCGCTAAAAAGTCTAATATCAAACGCATTACGCTTTCTGGAACAATCCTGAAGAAAAAGAAAAATGATAAATATTTCATCATGCAACATAATTATCAGGAGTGAACATTTATGGATTATATATAAAGCAATATACAAATTTAAATGTTAAATAGATGTGATCAAACAGATAATAACTGCGCTACTTTTGATTCCGATATGTACCTGTTGATTGCATTTAAAGAAAAAAGACATCGCGGTATTGAATATTCGGTATAGTTTCTTCGAATTGCTTTAATTATTTCACGGGCGGCGTACTCTGGTGTCACAACGCCGAAAATATAAGGAAACCTGCAATTCATTCTAGATTAAAGTTCATTTTTAATTTATTAACACCATGAATATAAAACAAGTATTCTTTATCATGCACATTGTAATACATAAACAAGTATATTATATAATATTATACGGACAAAAAAACTCATTTTTTATACTTTTCTTATTATTAACTCACACTTAAAGTAATCAGTTTCTATAATCAACGTTTGATTTTGTATCTAATTAAATTTGATTTCAAAAGTGTGTAAGTTTCTTTCTGCTACACGAGAAAAGAGAGACGTAATAAAGTTTTCTAACAATAAGTAATACATCAAGATGTTTTACATCCATGTAACCTTAACCGTTTCCTTTTCAATATAATGTTAAACATATAAAAACTAGAAATCGCGTCAAAAATAGTGAATCATAGGTGCAATATTTTTTTTCTAATCTCATTATTACTTCATGGATCAGACCGTTCCACTTACTGGGCGCTAATTACATTCCATACAATTACGCTATGTTGCAGTGGATAAAGACGACTCGTTTCGTAAATACAATGTTTGCGTGCGAATCACCGCGACCAGGCCGGAAGATGTCTGCGCGGAAACGCTATTTCATCATAGATATCGTCGATGTATACTCGTTAAAAAAAATACTTGTTTAATTGATAGCATGATGAGTACAATCTCATGATGAGTGAGATATAATTACATTATGTGGATATTAAATATGTACGTTTTTTTTGCTATAATGTCTTGCAAAAAATAGCGTCTATTATTAATTTAATCTAAGTGATTTTACCTGTATTTGGGATCCTTCGCTAATCCTGTATCAATATAAAATGGATATATCGTTGTGAAATAAATATTAGGTTTTCTTTCATCTAATCGTACTTCCTCGTGAAGAGCCTCCATAAGGCCTATGAATTAAACTTATTAAAATTCTACTACAAATAAATAAAATTTTGACAAAATACCTCTCACAGCAAATTTTGATGAGCAATATGCCACCTTTTGCGACACTCCATAAATGCCACACATACTACTTATCGCTACTATGTGACCGCTTCCTTTCATCAACATCATAGGTAAAAATGCTTCTATTGTCTATTTAAAACAAAAAAATTATTAACTTTATAAATTATCTTATACCTCGATGAAATCGTTCCTCAATTAGTTTAAAAAAAAAGACTTAATGAATTCTTGATTTAAAAATACAAATAAGAATATTACGTGATCTATTATTAAATTATTATGTAATCTATTATATAAAAATATTACGTAATTAAACTTGAAGTGTGTGTGTGTGTGTGTGTGTGTGTGTATTGTTATTATTAAGCGAAATTCTTACAAAATAACTTTGAAATTATCCATATTTAAAATGTTTAATAAGTATTTATTAATTAAATAGATATAATTTATAGAATATGATTTAATGGCATAAGTGCATACCCAAAAATTTGAAAGTACGTTAACGTTAAATGTCTTTTCTACGTCGTCCGGATCAAAACTTAGATATGGCTTATGATGTAATAGAGCTGCATTATTAATGAGCATTGTGATATCTGGCACACCGACTTTTCTCATTAATCTCACTGTCTCACGCACTTCCATTCTTTTCGAGATATCGACCACAAAACCATAGACCTAAAAATAGTTACGTGCATGTTTTTTTTTTATAACATCCGATTGTATCTCTTCCAAAAAATTGTATTAAAAATCAAAAACAAAATGCAATTTAAATGAAAATTAAATGTATACTTACCTCTCCGCCATTTTTCGACACTTCTCTCATTGTTGATCGATTATTATCGATATCATTGTCCCAACAAACAATTATACAACCCATCAAAGACAACTGAATCGCTAATTCGCGGCCAAGTCCATGGCCGGCTCCAGTGATCTAATTTCGATGTGAATAAAATAGTTTTAAAAATATTTACGTATTCTAAATTTTAAGGATTTAAAATCATTGCAACTTTTCTTCAGTTTGATAAAAAGCAAAACAAGCTTACAAGAACGGTTTCTCCTATTAAACGTTTCATGGAACACGGTACAATCATTCTGAAAGTTGCCATTATCATCGCCAGACTTATCTTTGCCGACAAAAGAGAAAGATCCAGAAATAGTCGATGCAATTTAATGTCTTTGAAAATATGTTGGATAATCTTCATCTTGGAATAGTTCATAAAAATATACCTAAATATGTCAAACTTGTTAATAGATAAAAACAGATAAAATTCATTAATCATTATTACAATTATCTCGTCAATTAAAAATTTCACATTTAATTGTATGTTAAAAAAGAAAGAAATTTCTTCATGATAATAAAATTACTTTAATCGCAATTATTGCGATTTCTTGATGAATATTTAAAAATGTATTACGAATAAAATCTAAACATATATCACAAATCTAAAAATTCCTAAATAAAAAAATAGTAAAAATGAATGGAAAAATCCGTTCGTAAATCTCGCAAACGCACCACGATTTTGTGACGCAAGTTTCAGCAGACCGTAATGTTCGCCAATCACTTTCCTTCCTACTACGAAACACTGTTGATGGGGTGACTACCAGTTTATTTAAAAATCCTGAAAGTTGTTAAGAATATACGTAGTTTTAAGAACACTGTGTCAGCAGATTAATGACAGTTTCGTAGCCATGACATCGATACATGTAAGGATTTATAATATGTATCGCAAATCGACTCGGAATTTATTCATATCAGTAAATTTATTACTCCTTTTTTTCAAATTATAGAAAAAAATAAAATCTAGAAAAATAAAGTGAAAAATATAAAAAAGCCTATCAGAGCTTACATCGGCTGTTCGGATGCACAGAAAACTCTTTATTTTCGTGCGAATGTATAACAAAACGAATAAAATAAACGTTTCGACCCTTCAATTTAAGTCCTTATCAATATAGATTATAAATCTAAATTACATAAGTACCGTAAATTCCAAAATGGTGATTCCCAACAATTTAGCTCATTCTTCCTTATCCAAATGCTAAATTAGCTATGTAAAGCCGTAATCACACTACAGACTCCCGACTCTAACTCGACTACTGACTCGGACTCCCGACTATCATTCTACCAATCACAGCAAGGCAGCAGCCGACTCTGACTGCCGACTCGAGAATAGAAATCACTCTATTCGATCGACTGAGTTGGGAGTCAAGAGTCAGAGTCGGGAGCCTGTAGTGTGATTACGGCTTAATGAACAGCCAAATGAATAAAAATAAGAACAAAGGGAGGGAAACGTCACAATTCCATAAACAAATTCATATGTAGTGGATCTGAAAAGGTGCGAATCAGTGTTGCCAGATGCTAGGGAATTTCCCTAAACCTAGGGAGAATTACAAGAAAAAAAATGAAATAGGGAAAAAGGGATTTTTTGTGAAAATAAGTTAAAATTTAGGGATTTTTAACAGTAAATGAAAATTTTGTTTTATGCTCGGTTTCGGTTGATAAGTAGGTGACAACTCACCACGTGTCCGAATCGCGCTGATTGACTTGGGCTTGGGGCATATCGGCGTATGGCGTTCAGGTCGGACATGTTTTTATTTCGGTTCAGGTGTTACATCATATTTTTGAAAAATGTAACTGATTTTAACCGTGCTCTTATCGTTGATCTTCCTGAGACAGGTGTAGGCGTGTGTGCAGGTATGTACCAGTTAATTAAGAAGAAAAAGAAGAAGTACATACGCACGGGGACACAAATGCCTTAACATCCGAAGTTGCACGCGTATTGGAGAAGGCATGAAAAAGCATGTTAAGGCATTAACGTGTGTACATAAAATGAGTAAGATAGTATAATTTAAAATGAGATAGTATATAAAAAGAAATAGTATAAAAAGAAACAGTATATAGACTCCTTTTTCATTCTTGTTTTCCTTCTTTTTTACTTTTGTTTCATTCTTCTTTTTTACTCTTGGTTTAATAAAAGTGCATGTAGCTTAACTTTGTTATAGAGTCTCTATCCAGTTTATCCTTATACATTATTAGATTTATTAGTATTAGATTTATGTTAAAATCATAGAAAATGATTATTTGTTTTTTTTAAATCTAATAAATGTACAATAAAAATATATTATTCATTAATTTATAGTACTTATTATATATTTTCCTTTATATGTGTGTTCTGTTTCATATTTATTATAATTCCAAATTGTAATACATTAATAAAAAATAATTCATGATTTTATTTGAATAAAATTTGTAAAGAAACAAAAATTTTGTGAATTTAAGAGAAATTTGGGAAATTAGTGGAAAATTTGGAAAAAACAAAAATTTTATGAATTAAATGGAAAACTAGGGAAAACTAGGGAAATTTTCATGTCCCAATAGGGAAACTGCTTCGCCAGAATCTGGCAACACTGGTGCGAATTCATACAGCGACAAATCGCTGGCGACTTGAGAGAAGTGGGAAAAAAATGTCGCCAGCGCTAAGGCCTGTTCTACAATACGTCGTGTGTCGCTGTCGGATGTCGCTGGTCGTCTGTCGTCTCGTCTGTCGGCTGTAGGATATGAATACGACAAGCCATTCTACAATTGAGTCGAATGTCGGAATAACTGTTCGCAATTTTTCTTTCATTTTCTTAATGTTTTTATAATCCACATCACGTTTGTCATATATGCAATGACTTTCGCGAACAATATCAATAATTATTTCATCTGCAGTTAATGATTCCATGATAAGATACCGTAAAATAATAAAGGTTATGTTTATCCAGTCGAGTCGTTGTCGTAAAAGATGAGAGTTGACCATCTTTTGTACCGACGTCGACAGTCGACTCGCAACAGTGAGAAACGACATCCGACAGCGACACACGACGTATTGTAGAACAGGCCTATATCCGTCGCTTTGCTGCCGGTACCTATTCATGTGACGACAAACCGCTAGCGACTTTAATGGCAGTTAGTGGCTAATCAGGAACTAAGGGCAAGACCAATCATATATAAGAATTTTACAACAGTTGTATAGCTGCTTTCTCTGCTGAACGCAGCCAATATATGTATATACAGTAGAAAGAGCACTGAAAATTGATGAAAATGAAGGTGACAATACGTTCGAATGGGGTAGAATATGAAAATGTCATAAAACGTCCGTAGCGCATGCTTGCATCGCAGTATTTCGCCAGTATTTCACGGCTGACAGATTTCCTAACCTCAATAATCGTTAACTTTAACGCTTAATATCTCGATTCGCGGGGCAGAGCGATGCTTATTTTTGCCAGATTCTTTCATTTCATGCAAAACCGCGTCGAATAAGCCTAATTTCATTGATTTTTGAGCGAGAGGGTAAACTGAGTAATTATCAAAATCAGATGTGTCGACTTATCGCTGCAGTTGAGACAGAACGAACTTCCTGGCGATTTGTCGCCGCCAAAGACATAGAGAATGGACTGCGCGATCGGGTGGCACTCACAATCAGTTGGACACAGCTCAATTGGACACGAGCCACTCACAGCGCTTGAGACTACAAAACTCCTAGGCACCTGGTCGCTGTGATTGGTGGTGTCCAATCGAGCCGTGATCAATCGGGATCACCCCTCTCATCCCTATCGACTATTTTGATACACGGATGGCGACCAAAGACATAGTTCTCTATGGCCCGTATTCAGAACGCGCTTACAACGATGTTAGCACGCTAACATACTATACTTTACGTCACGCATATTATAGAATTTCAGAGATAAAAGTGCGCTTTTATCGATAAAAGCGCGTTCTGAATACGGGCCTATGTCTTTGGTTGCCGCTACTACGGATTCAGCACAATGTATGTGTAGAGGGAGAAAGTCGCCAGCGATTTGTCGCTGTATGAATTCGCACTTAAAGAATACGTATTATTCTGTAAATTCAAACCCTTTTTCTGTTGCTTTATATAGATTATTTCCGAAATCAATCTTCTATTAAGCATCCTTTCTAATATCTTAACATTTTTCCTATCAAAATCATGCTGATGACTAATTCTGTATTCTGTTATTACGGAATGCTGTGTAGTGTTCCAATTTACATTTTTTATTTTTAATGGCAGATACTATAAACAAACTTTTGGTGTGCCGATGGGTTCTCCTTTATCATCAATTATAGCTGACATAGTTTTACAGGACTTACAATCTAATTGTTTAAACAAGTTGACTTCGCATCCAACTTTATATGTATGTACGTTACGTTGACGATGTTGCGCTAACAATTAATAAATCACACATTGTGATTTATTAATGTGTGACAAATGAACTCTGTAACACGTTTAACTGTTATAATCCTAGACTCAAATTTATATTAGAGGAGGGCATTGATAAGCTGAACTTTTTGGATATAACATTGATAAAATGTAATGATAGCATTATATACGATTCATATCAAAAACCAACATCATCAGGACGATATTTGAATTACTTTTCCCAACATTCATTGATACAAAAAATATGTCTAACTGACAAAGTTTTACATTTATCTCATGCTATATTTTATAAAAAAAATTTTGAGATGATCATAACAATATTATTACAAAATAGTTATCCAATGGATCTGATTTTTAACACTATAAAAAAAGAGAGGGCTCCTTTTGCCTACAAATTGATTGCCTACAGCACCTTTTTTGCCTACATCTCATTTGCCTACAAATCGATTGCCTACATGCACTTTTGCGCACAAATAAAATTTTTAGAAGCAGTTACTTTTACCTACTACATGTATTTTTGCCTACAGCTCGATTGCCTATATGTATTATTGCCTACAGCTCGATTACTTACAAGCACTTTGGCGTGCAAATATAAAATTAAAGTTAAGTAAGAAAATAATTTATATTTTTAGGAAATCTGCCATGTGAACAGTGAGGTATCAGCGTAGACAGTGTCCGCTTGGAATATTATTCCAAAAAATCTAACTCTACCAAACCATTTGTTCGTGTGAGGTAGCCCCATCGACATCTAGAATGGACCGCTGATGGCAATGGTGGGGGTAGAAAGACGATTAGAGTGAGAGGCAGGAATAATAAGATCGTTCTTTCTCTGTTACTGTTGTTTCTAACTAGCCTGATTAGTTGTTGGATTAACAACAACCAAGCAGACTTCAGTAAACAGAAAGAACGATCTTATTATTCCTGCCTCTCACTCTAATCGTCTTTCTACCCCCACCATTGCCATCAGCGGTCCATTCTAGATGTCGATGGGTAGCCCTCATTTTGCGTGTAAGGTTATGTGAGCTGTAGACAATAATGTATGTAAGCAATCGAACCGTAGGCAATAATATATATACATGCAGGCAATCGAGCTGTAGACAATAATACATGTAGGCAAAAGTAACTCCGTTTCTAAAATTTTTATTTGTGTGCAAAAGTGTAGGCAATCGATCTGTATAGGCAATAATACTTGTAGGCAATAATTCATGTAGGCAATAATACATGTAGGCAAAAGTAATTCCATTCCTAAAATTTGTATTTGTGCTCAAAAGTGCATGTAGACAATCGAGCTGTAGACAATAAACCATGTAGGCAGTCGATTTGTAGGCAAATGAGATGTAGGCAA